CGAAATGGTGGAATGCTGTTCTTCTTGTTCTTTTACAGGGGCGTCCCCCCCACTTCATGAAAAAAAGGAAAATGTTTCCCATCCCTCTTCAGTTTGTTTTGAATTTCGCGCAAAGCTACACGAGGGCTATCTGCGCTAGCCGTCCCTAATTTAGCAGTGTAAGACTAGAGAGAAGGCAGCTAGTCATCACCACCCACCGCCAACTCTTGGGCTACTCTTTTACCAACGAATAGTAGGATTGACCGTCACGTTATAACGCCCCACGGCTGAAAGGGCGAGCATTGCAAGTCGAGCGCCCTAACCACCTGGCCATGCTGGGCCTCCCTGTTCAGAGAAAAAGCAATTGCTACTATGTTCCTTTACCCCCCCCCCCCTTCATTTTTATTTTTAGTTTGAAATACTGATAAGCAGTAATTTTAAAAATGCAGTGTATTTATTCGTCAATCATTTCTAATGTTAGTTGTTCAACTGTATCTGTGCTTATAAAATAGAGGTTTATTTAAATTACGGGCAAAATATGTTGTATTACATTTTTATTAAGGAAGAAAGTAATGAAAAGAACCACTTACCGTTCATTATCCATGGCATATCAAATACGTAAATATGGTCTGAAAAGTTTGAGAAATGTGAATTAATGAATGAAAATAAACGCCAAACTAAGACTGTTCAATTTTCCGAAACATGTGTTCTTTTCACATTAGTAATTACGATCAGAATAAATTACCCCCTGAAAGAAAAATCAAAAGTTTAAAACATACAACGTTTATATTCTCTCGAGGAGACGCATCAAATGGAAAATAGAAATTATGTTTGTGCGTGAGAATGTTTGAATCTAGAATAGTTTTGAGAGGCTCGTGATTCCAAATCACGTGACACAGTCGATTAAATTTAGAGCGAGCTCTCACCTCAAGAATAGTTTATCGATTACTAAGTAAAGAAAAGGGTAAAATAAAACTATTTGTTTGATAAAACGAAACCACGCACGGTATATTACTTAGTTTAATTCATTACGATAGTCGTTCTTGAATTTTGTAATCTCTCTCTCTTATAATAATAATTTAACCTTATAGAAAGGCTTAAGTGACATTTGAATTTAAATTGGGCAACAAAATATTATATAATGTCTTCTAAGAAATAAATCAAAATAAACTAGGCAAAAAATAAACGAATCATATATCGTAAAACTCAGCAAGATAAACAAAAGTTAATTGCAATATTTTTTCCCTTTGTTTTTCTTCTTTGGTTCATTTCTCTATAAACTTTTTTTTTCATATCACCAAGCCTGTTTAAGACAAAAACGGAAACATACCTGGCTAGGGGTTTAGTAATTTTATGTTACAATCTAGAAGGTGAACAAAACAGAAAATCGTATGCATAACGGGTGTATAACACCGATTATGCCTAAACATAATTACGTAAGTACTGTATGTTCCTTCGCAGGATGTGGAGTTCACGCTGTTCCTGATGAGACTGTTTGCAATCAACTATCCTGCATTTGTTGGTAAGTATTGTAAAAAAAGATTATTTTTCAGCTGAAGCTAAGTAAATATTCTAATATAATGCTAAAAATGATAAAATTGCCGTTGTTATTAGGGCCATTATACGTCAGATTACGTTATGTGGGTTTTCCCGCGTAATCTCTTAAATCCTAAACTATGGGGACACAACTGATTTTTCCTTAGTTTACGTAGTCTCACAACAACAGTTTTTTTTTTTGTTTTTGAATTTCGCGCAAAGCTACACGAGGGCTATCTGCGCTAGCCGTCCCTAATTTAGCAGTGTAAGACTAGAGGGAAGGCAACTAGTCATCACCACCCACCGCCAACTCTTGGGCTACTCTTTTACCAATGAATAGTGGGATTGACCGTCACATAATAACGCCCCACGGCTGAAAGGGCGAGCATATTTGGTGGGACGGGGATTCGAACCCGCGACCCGCAGATTGCGAGTCGAGCGCCCTAACCACTTGTCCATACCCAGTTATTTTTATTTTGCTACTAACTTACTCTTTCTGAACATAAATCAACAAAGAAACTGTCAGCAATATTTCAAATGAGAAACATGCTTTTATGCAAATTATAGCATAGTAAAATGTGAGAAAAAGGTAAATTATTTATCAGTGAAGTTTACAAGAGATTTGAATTCAAAATTAACTATACTTTAATTCAAACCATAGACGAAAGTATATATTCTTTAAAGTATTATTGAACTTTTAAAGGACTTAAATCACATTACTTCAGATCAAATAGTCCACAATAATAAAAAACAATATACGGATGTTCATAGCAAATGTATTGTAAGTGATTTGAAACTAATTTGAAAAAGTAACATAATGTGCAGGACCCACACTTATTTAGTTAAAAAAATTAGGTACCACATTTTCAGTAATTCTTCATAGATTTAATTATTTCTTTTTGCTGAGTAAAATTTTAAATTCTAATATTGACCTATCACTTGTCTACTAGTCTTTTTTAAATTTACCTATTTTTGTGCAAGGTTCAAAATAAGTTTTATATTATACACACGACAAAAAAATAAATAAATAAAATTTACCATGTTAGTTAATCCGGTGTCTGAACAATCCAAGAGAACAGACACTGACCCTTCTTTATTTTCTCTTTCGAGTTTTTCAATCCAGTAGGATATTATTTTTTTCCTTTCAACCACGGTGGCTGGATCTTTTCTGTGGCAATTTACTCTCAAAATCACTAGCAAACAACCACAAATAACAGATTACCAATTAATCCTACAAAATTCAGAAAACTGGGTTGCTTTAGTTATTAATTATATGGTTTATTGATAGATTAATTCTAAATTGGGCATGTTTCTATGATAGTTTTCATTCAACCACGTTTTAACGAAAATATTCGCCAAAGTGTCTCAGAAAAAGTAAATAATGAAACAGACTCACAGAAAAACTAGATTCAAAATATGTTACCAGAGCTTGAACCAAGATAATAGTAAAATCATAGGATAACATGCAGCCTATTTTAAAATGTATTTTCAAAAGTTCATAGTTGCTTTTTGTTCCCAAAAAAATGACACTCTTCAAACATTTAAGATTAGAACTTCTTATATTCAGTTTGTATATTCTTCGTTAGAAATAACTGAATGTAATCAGGAAAAAATTAAAAAATATCTTTATTTATATTAAGAAATGTATAATAAATGAAGACCCATAATCTCTTCCTAGAAATTATTTTTATGCTGTGTTTTCTGTTGAATTCTAATCTCTAATTAGAAATTTCATAGTGAAACGCCACTAACTTCTAGTGCAATTTATAAAATACCTCCAGTTGTGTCTCATTCAAGAAATCATTTTGATATCTATTCTTTCTAGGAATGGTATATTTTAATTCTTTTATGAAAGGTTCCCATGCAACATGCTGGAATCACAAGCAATGGCTTCTGGATGGTAAATATTTTGATGGTACAAATTACCATATCAAATACAAAAGAAAAGTGAATAAGTTGTACAAGAAACTGGTATTTTGCATGTGAACCTTCTGCTTTACACAGATAATTGAAACTACCATACAGCTTACCAAAGTAAAGCTGTTCCAAACGTCCTGTATTACTCCCAATAATTCAGCCCAGTTGTTTAATAACCTCTTGACCTTCTCAGTTTTCACATAAGCCCACACAGCCTCAAGAATGTTCACATCTGAACTTCGTATAGGTCAGGCCATGGTATTGAGTGTTTAATCGGCAACTTCTATTAGTAAGCAGTGCCAGTTTCATGTTCCCTCTTCATTTTTGTATGGAATCTCCTTAACCAGCCAAAATGTTTATTTGTATGTATTTGTTATATGATAAATTTCAATTCTCAAGTTTAACTTTTAGTTTAACCTAACGAATGCTAAACTCAATTTATTCATTTTAATTGAAATAACTAGTTTACAAGAAATATATATATATATATATATATATATATATATCTGTGTGTGTGTGTGTGTGTCGTACTATATAATACATAGTATTATTTAATTTATTTACTTCTTCTTACTTACGTACGTCTTCTTTCTTCTATCGTCTAATAGCAAAACAAAAAGAA